ATAGATGATAAAATCTAGTTATAGTAGAAACGAAACAGGGATGTGGGAATTCCCATTTTACAATTTAAGAATTAAAAACAATTAAAGAGGTGGGCGAAACTTTCCTTTATATTGTAGATTGATAGATCCACATGAGATTCCGTAAAAATTCAAAAAATATCCTCTGGACTTGGTTTTCAAGATTTGAAGACGTTTCGCCACCTCTCCAGGAAGCTTTCTCAATTCAAATGTCTGGATCCGCAGTGAGTTTGAGTCTTATATAGACAACGCCTTGTATCGCTTGGAAACACACAATGGTAACCGATGAATGGGTCGTTAGTTCAATCGTTAGCCTGTAATATCTGAACCTGTCTATGATTCTAGGGGTCGGTCGTTAAAGGGGGGGCATCAGCATCCACATGAGATATGGTCGTAATAAACGCTGACTGAGATTCATTTGAGTGTAAATTTTCACAACTTATTTGATTTTGGGTCTTAGCCGATGCGTAGAGGTGAATAACAGCAGCAGCTCATAAACACATAAGATATTCAACCATAGAATAGTACAACTATTATGACCTCTTACAAACCTTGACCCTTGAAAAATATAAGTTTTAACTAGAAACCCCCCCCCCCCCCCCCCAAAAGATATTTGAGATACCTCTTTAATTAGACGCTACTTCATTGACAGACTGCTGCATCCTAGATACATCAGGGAGCGTCATCGCGGATCCTTCCTGCCAGCCTTACTGTAAAAATGTCCATAGCTGTTGATTGATTATTTATTCTCCATGGGCACAGTATTTAAATTGTAAAAACACTTTACAGTACAGTGTTTTATTTGCCGTTAGTCTTTTTTTTGTTAAAAAAGGTTCCTTTGCATTGCTTGATGTGCCATCTTGGTTTGCAGGATGTGCCAAACAAGCTATTTTCCCCTCTATCCATATTAATATTGGTATCTGCTCTCTCAGGACTTTGGATCTGCCTCGATGGATCTGCAGTACATTATTTGGCTAAAGATAATTAAGGAGCTCACACAGAACTCAAGCTGCAGAAACTCCTATCCACTGACATGAAGCTCATTCAGGCTTGAACTGCCAAAAATTCCCCCGGCTCATTTGTTAAGCATTCCCTCAGAGATGGCGTCCCAGGCATGTATTGTCAGCTGAGCTGTTCTGTGAAGGCAGACCACCAGAAATAATCACCTAGAGAATTTCTTGTTGAAGTTTCTGCTTAGGGCCTGGGTCCTTTGAAATTAATTAGTTTCTTCTTTTGATGGAGGGTCAGCTGTTAGTTGGTTCCAGGGTTGCTACACAGTTTGGTGTTGGGTGCAATTAGATTTCAGTATCTTTCAGGTCTGGCAGCAGGGAAAAAAACATTTCCAGGTTTTTCTTCCTTTATCTATCTTCCTTCCTGTCCATCTTTCCTTTCTTTTGAGCATGTTTTTCTTCCTCCATAGTTTCTTTCTTTTCTTCCTTGTGCCAGTTCTTCTTTCCTATGGTCCTTCCCTATCTTCATGATTTGTTCCTTCCTTTTTTACTTTATTCATCCTGACTTATCTTTCCTTGTATCACCTCTCTCTTCTATTCTTCTATTATTCCTTCATTGTTTAGGTTGTTTTTTTTAGTTCCCAAAATAAATCAACTGGCAAATTTTTTTTCCCTCACCGATACTATGTATGATCCATGTGTTGCGAAGCGCTAAAGTTTACTATATGGTGCCTACTTTATTTCCCATACATATCAGCCTGATTTTCTGACTTATTTTTCTGTGAAAAAGTACTCAGAGAAAACTGTCAGTCGATAAAAATGACTCTTCACCTCAGCTCTGAAGCATGAATCAGTTTTTTTATATATATATGTACCCCGGGTTAAATTCCCTCTATGATCACAGGGGGCAGTGTTGCCTTGTAATCAACCCAGCCTGCCTAGAGCTTAGTCACTCTTGTTTCGCAGCCTCTCCTCCTCTAAAGTCCTTCCTCTTGTGTGTCCTTGTTATTGTGATGAGCTGTGCCTAATTCCAGAGCAACCACCGGACACTTGGAAGCCGTCCCTTCTAATCTGCTGCCGAGTCAATGCCCAGGTTTGGGAATCTGCCCGACAGCAAGGCCGTAGGCTCGACAAAGACTGATTTGAGACTCTGGGACTCTCAGGGTCTCCCAAAACACCCGAGCAGTGGCTCTCTCTCACCGCCCTGTTAATCAGCGATGACACCACACGAATTGCCAGTCAGTCTGTTCGCAATTAATCTTTTCAACTGCAGATTTAATGCCATCAATGGAGTTTGGAGTTGCTGTGTCCCACGTAGGGGCCTGCGTTTATGTGGTGTCATTGTCTTCCTGATGACTATAGAGAGGGTTTGAAATTGAATATTGAGACTAGATTGGTCAGATTGAGACTGCTTTTTGTCACAGTGATGCTTCGGCACAAAGTTTAGAGAGTCATCTGACTTTTTCATTGCGGGGCCTTTTCTGACTAGGTTTCATTCACTTCTAGATGTTCTTTAATGGTTTTTAAGACTGAAACTCTGATAAAACAGCAACATACATCTGTCCTACCAATGGATCACACCGTCTGGATTTTATTTCCTTTATTTCATGTGAACAATACTACCAGCTTATCTCAATGCGGCCTCTGACCACATCTGTATGCTGTATTAAAGATCAGCTTGATAGGTGAGCAAAATTAGATTTTTTTTACATCTGGACTTTAATGGAAAAAAAAAAGAGAAATGAGATACAGGAAATACTGGTCCTCTTTTATCTCTTTCTAAATGTATTACATTACATTGACAATAGTTCATCTATTCTATGAGATGAAAGGTCATGGAAAAAGGAAGCCTATATGAGGTTCATTTTTTACAACAGATAGCATTCATTTATATTCACCTACCTTTTGTTTGATTAATCTAACCCAACATATTCATCCTGGAACAGCTGCAGAGATGCAAAGCTTGATTAGGGGAATAGTTCTCCAACTGGAACAGTAGCAAAAATAAGCTATTGGAAGAAAACCATAGGAAATAGTGTTTGCACATTGCTAAAAGGCTAGAAAGACACTAAGGTTGGAACTGATGAAAAAAATCTTTGAGATTTAAAACACCATGTGATATAAAGCCAACCAACACTACCCTTTGCTCTGAACTCACTATGCTCACTATACTTGCAAACAAAAAATAAAAGGCCATGGTAGCATGGTCCAACACGTAGCGGCTGGCGAGCGCAAGAGATAAGTCACCCATTTTGCTAACAAGAAGCCTGGGTTCGCATACCAGCTGGCGGGAATGAGCTGCCAGTGTTGGTCCTTAGGCAGGACCCTTCAAGCTAATGCCTACTTTTGGGAGTGGTGGCCTAGTGGTTAGGGCATAGAGCTTGAAATCCTGAGGTACTGAGTTCGAGCCCCACACCCAAAGACTTCCACTCTGGGTCCCTGAGAAAACCCTTAACCCACACTGCTGCCCGGGCGCCGGACAATGGCAGCCCACTGCTCACCAAGTTCATTTTGTTGCTCTGTACTTGGGACAATGAAATAACAATAATAACTCTGGAAAATAATGCTCTGGTAATGTTTTTTCTTAGCAGCGGAAGGAAAACCAATGGAGTAAAGGAAATTCCTGTAGGAAATGGTTCCTATCACATTTATGCGATGCCTGGATGAAAAAAAGGTCCTCAATGTGAATTTAGTAAGTAATTTTGATTGGCCAAAAGGTAATGATCCAGGCAAAGTTTACATCTCTGGAAATATATGCTGTCTGATTGAGCTTGAGCAGTGTGATAAGAGATGTTTCTTCTTAAAAATCTGTGTTAAGGGCATTGATGGCGCAGTGGTTAATACGCACGACCCATGTACACCTTAATGTTGATTTGTACTTCTAAACCAGGTCCTTTGCGTAGGTGTTATAGTGAACAAAAAGATGTCGCTCTCTTGTCGGACAAACTCGCCCCCACTTCCTCTCCGCCTCGGCCGTATCTAGACCCACAGCGTATAGCGCAGACCACGCTTCAATACTGGGCATAAATCAAAAATGTCTGCGTCAAGCTTACTGCGACAAACTGCTGCAGGAGTATAACCAACCCTTTAGTCCTCAACATGTCCGACCTGGGTTCGAATCTGGCATGCAGTCGTTTGCCGCATGTCTCTACCCCTCTCTCATACTCCCTTTCCGTCAACCCACTGTATGAAAAAAAGAGCAAGTAGGGCCTTAAAAAAATATAAAAATAAAATCTATGTTAAAATGTTTCTCCTCTTTAATGTACAGGGTCTTTGCATCAAACCACTGTTGAGTCATAGCTTGAGTAGATTTCTACAGAGAGCTGGTAGAGCAATAGCCCAAAGAACAGTTGTCTGACAAATGATTGACTCAGATAATCTAATTACAGATGCATCTCAAAGTTTTGCAAAATAATTCAATAAAAAACTAATCAAATGTCATGTATCATTATCCCCCCACTTCATATACTTGCCCTATTTTGTGTTTGCCAATCAAATATAGTCCTGCTGGATTGAACAAGTGTTTTAAACCTGGCAAAATATGAAGAGGTTTAAATACAAACACACACCTAAAAGGAGGGGCTTTTTGTTCGAGGCTTTGGTGCTCTGCCAACGTTCTGACCCTCTATCTGTCCGTCTGATTGAGCATGCTCATTACAACCTTGACAGCATTCCACAAGGGTTGCCAAGGATACCTAGCCGAGCTGCCAGGTCTTGTAATTGTACTCAAGTGTCTGCTCCAAATACATAAGCTCACCTAACTATATAAACACCTCATTTTTTTGGCCTGTACCGTAACCACACAGTGAAAAATAACATGTCGGCTCTTTGCTCTTTTTGTCTCCTGTGCCTGGCCGCCTCCCTTCCTTTCTGTGGATCACTGTTAATCAGTCTCGTCCCATCTTCTCTCCACTGGCTGTCAGTGGCTTGTCAGAGGCCCGTCAGAGGCCCGTCAGAGCCCCTGCAGTCCGTCACACGCCGCTGCAGTTAATGACATGTGATGACACCCGTCGTTGAAGTCACCCGCCGGAGATGACTGGGTACTCGGCTTGCTCCCCGCTTTCAAAGAGTTTCTTTTGTTCCGTCGGCGTTGCGTTTCTAGATGCGTTTGAACCCGGCTTTGCTCTGGTAATGTGCAGCCGGTCTGTATTCCAGCTCACCCGGTTTGACCTGGAAGTTCAAATTAAATGAAACAACAGTAGGATGTTAATGCCAAAAGCTGGGACACTTTTTTGTCTCCCCTGTAAAATCTGTAACACATTAACCGACTTGAAAAGTCTTAATATTCTCTGAACTTTTGCTTTTAAAAGCTACTTCTTGCTTCATCTTTTTTCTGAACAGTAGTTTCATGACAGAGCAACTCTTCTCTGTGCTTGGATTTACTTTCTCATCTTTTTTCCCTTCTCCAGTCTCTCTCTGGCTCTTTTAGTGCCTGTCTGTTGCTCCTTGCAAAGCTGGTTCCTTACCTTCTGTTTCTGCTCTCATTTTCTCTTCTCCAGAGGAGGAAGTGGAAAACTTTGACGTGTCCAGTCTCCAGGAAGAAGCTCTGAGGAACATCGAGGCTGACAGCTTCTGGTGCATGAGCAAACTGCTGGACGGCATCCAGGTAAGCATGTGGATGTGTGTGTTTGTGCGATGAAAGTCCTTTTGCTTTATTAGTTTCAACTTTACAAACTTGAGGTATACACATCCATCAAAAGAAATAGTATATTTCAAAAAGCTATTTCCGAAATGAAGTTGGTTATTTTTACATTCATCCCACAGTCTCACATATTTGTTTTAATGATTATTATAGCTTACAGGTAAAGAAACCCAGAATTTGTGTCTCAGACATGTAGATTTCAATAGACCAATGAAAAAAAGTTGTACATTTTTTATGCACTCGTTGGTTGATCCTCTGCACGGCGTAGATAATATGGGGGCAGACTTAAGTGAACCTTAATTGGCCTGGTGTCAGCACATAGATTTTATGTTAGGTTCAGATCAGAGTTTGTCTTTGAGAAGAGGTACAATGTGGTCTTTTAACCTGCATGTGAGTCTAAAATCTTTTGAAGCCTCCAGGCTTTCTTACCAGTTTTCCAGTCTCTGCCAAAGCCAAACATTCCCACAGCTTAATGCTGCCACCACCGTGCTTATCAGTCCCAAATTACCAAGCACTTTGTCTTTTCTCCATTTTCATGCAGGCTTTCTTCGCCTATAAAGTTTTTCTCCTTGCCATTACACCAGATCTATGGAAGTGCTTATAGTTGTCCTGTTATCATCTCCTATGACTTCCCTTATGGGTCTCTTCAACCCCTTCAAGGTCTCAATATTTTTGGCTGCTTCTCTCTGATCAATTCTTTTCTTATTTTGGAAGTTTTCATTTCCTCCATCTTTTTGGATTAATGATGAATTGAGCAGTGCACCTTGAGATCTTCAAAGCCCTGGATATTGATTTCTAACCTAACCCTACTTCATTTTATTCCTAACTTGTCTGCAGTGAACCTTGATTTTCATGATGCTGAGAACTTAGCAGAGCAGCTGTATATATACGAAGATTAATTTGAATGGACACTTTTCCTATATTTTGTGACTTTGAAGAGAAAAAGGAAACTTAAAAAATATTTTGACCCCTTTTAGATTCTTTGTTTTTTTTTAGATTATACAAATTATATATACTAATACAAAAAACAATACAAAAGAGCTCAAGGAGACCTAATTTATTGCAGTCAGTGCTCCAAAAGATTCTCATAGTTAATTATTTATACATCCTTGTAGTTACATTACATTCAATAATACTGTTATTATACTGTTATATAATAATACTGTTTTTCATATATGCATTTTAAGAGACCCAATATTTGTAAGGCTAATTATTTATTAACTCTTGCTGCTGAATTCTCTATTGATAAATGATATGAGTCAGCAAAACTTTCTAAGCTGCCCTAAAATATTCTTTACAGGAGTGGAAAAATAGAGCCTAAAAAAAGTTTAAAAGGCAATTGATTTGGTTGATGTCCATTTTTTTCATATAATTTTATTAAATGCATAAAAAAAGTTGTTTCTCTGATGTTGGTTTTAATTTGAAACAGGTTTGAAGTTTGCTTATTTCCTATATCCAACAAGTTTGTCTTCAGTTTGTTGTTTTGTGTCATTTGTATGCAGCACCTTGTTAACATGGTGCTAGACGGGTGGAAACCCAGATGGACCTTTTGTGCTCACATTACACATGCTAGAGCATACTTTGCACTTGATTCAGAAATATGATTGGCCTGGACGCACCGAAAGAGGGCCGCAGTGTGTAGAAACCATTTGCTTGCATACAGACTGTGGCACCAAACAGAAATCCCCCCCCTCCCCTGTTTTCATCCTGAAGCCTTTTGGCCACCAGCTCCCTCAATCGACCAGACTCTCAGCGGTCACGGTCGAGCCATCTGTCAATTCCAAACAGGCCCGGCTGAGCTGATGGTGGAGTCAGCTGCACCACTGTTACTCAGCACCCTTCCAGCTTTATTTCTGATCTTCTTCTGACTTCATCTCCAACATATCATTTCAGATCTTTCATATTTGTTTATCGTGAAAATGTAGCCAAGCTCCTGTAACTTGGTCACACCCTCTATTAGCTCCAAAATTTTTCACCTAACATGACGTCTAAAACAGGTCCTTCAGCGGGAATTATTGAAAAGCCGTTAGTCATTTTATTGAATAAAAATGAGAGGTTTAAAAACAGTAGTAAGATTTCTTGATGCCCTAACGGATGCATTATATTTATGCAATAAAAACTTGCCTAGCCTTGCACTAAAGGTAATTAATAGTGCAGAGCATGTGTTCTGCATAAAATGCGAGCATCCTTAAATAACCGTTAACCAGTTGGTAGGCTATTCATTCAGGAAATTAATAGACGCTGTGCCTTGTTGCCCCCTGAGAGAGCAAGACACGGTGCAAGGAGTGCTGGGTTGCAGTGGAACTAAGAGACATGAAGAATACAGTGTGGGCTTTTTGTATGCGTGTGGCGGCTGCACGTCCCCGCGCTTGTGTCTGTTTGTGACCTTGGCTCTGGACTAATTATGTGCAATGCACCAGGGAGCCCCATGTTTCCCCCCTAATGCTCTCTAAACAATCTGACCGACGGTTGGTGCCTGAGCGCTGTAATTAGTTGGCGATCCCCCCTACGACCTCTTCTGAAACCCCTCTCACATCCGCTATACACTATTACAGTAAACTAAAGGGGGAGTTGGGTCGGTACCTTGATGGAAAGCAGATTCTGACCAGTTGAAGCACCTACCAACTGCCCTTTTCACATTAAACCAAAAACTTAAATGCAGAAAGGAGACTATGTGGCCACTAAAATGATTTTATGAATTTAAAAAAAGCATTAAGATAAACAAACAATGCACACTGATAGGCAGTTATGCTACACTCTCTCTGTTTTTGTTTGTGGATGATTAAAAGAAAGAAGAAATCCTGTTTTAACTCTACAAAAAAGAGGGTAACTGAACTGCCAGTCCTGCGTCCAGAACCCTTTGGGGGGAGGAAAACTTCACCTCTCTGGGAGAACATAGTGTTAGCAGAATCATGCTGTGGGAATGCTTTGCCTTAGTTGGGGCATGGGCAATTTTTTTTTTTTTTAGATATTTTCTAAACATTTAAAAAAACCTTCATTTCTTCCATTTTACAGATTTTCCAACGTTGTCACATAAAATCCCATTAAAGAACATTATTTATAGTGGTTGCCTAGTAACAAAAACATGAAAAAGCAAAATGTATCATTTTCAAGGTCCTTTAACTGTCTTTGCTGTTCTTCAAGCTCCTTATATGTCCATTGAGTCTGAGTGGTGCCATTATGCTGTGCGGATGTGTTTGCATCATATTATTGTTGCAAGGAATTTACTCACATAATAGTGCAGAACAAAGCTGGTTAAAATATCTCAACCCCAGCCACAGTCTCTGAGTGGCTCGACTTGGTAGCCTTTACTTTTTCTTCTTTCTTCATTACAGTAAATTATCCATTAGCGCAGGCTTTAGTGCCTCGCTTGCTAAGCCTCTCTTTTACCTAAAAGGGAGCATTTTGACTGTCAATTCGCTTAAACAGCCCCTTTAATGAGCTGCTTCTTTAATTGGCAGCAGTGAAAAACCCTCCTTCCTCTAAAGAGCACGTTAGAATGAAAGATCCAAGCAGTTCTGTTTTCCACATTGACAAATCAGACTAACTGGAGGGCTTAATAAAAGGATAAACATGCTGGCATTCATTGAGATGCTAAATATTTCTCAGTGTCTTCTTATTGATGAGTGGTTTTCTCTATTTCGGCATGCACACACTGCCTGGTGGACAGTAGAGGGTTTGAAGGGTAAGTGGCTAAAGATGGACGTCTCTCTCTTACATGGCGGGACTCTTTTGGGACCATAATGGTGCAGAGACCATTTGCACATCAAGCAGACTAATATTAGAGTAAAAGATGTAAGCATTGCTTTGCAGACTGGAGCTGTTCACATTAGTCATGTTTAAATGGAGCATTGTTCATCCAGTCATGTGACCCATAAAAGTGCTTTTAAGCAAGACAAGAGCCGTCATAAAACCACCTTCAACTGCTGCAGTAAAAAACAAAAAGATGTAAATTGGGTTTTCTTTGATGGATGCGTTTGCCTGTTTGAGACTCATCGTGGTGAAGTTGACCCTAATGTTGGCCCAGTCTCTCCGGCAGCCAATTAGGGTAGCACTCTGGGCTGTGCCTCTGGCTAACTTGTTTAACTTGTCAAAGCGGATTCACATTAATTGTTTAGTTAAATTTTAATGAGGCTGATGTGAGTGTGGGTTGTTGATTAAAACATGTCTGCCAGCCAGACACATTTTTTTTAATATATTTCTCAGCTTATGAGTTTAGTCTACATTACATTTTTATTTTGATGCATTTAATGTTCTTTTCATACATGGCTAATGAAATTTTGTCTGAACTAGAAGCTGAAATCAAAAACTTTTAAAAAGTCCTTTACTCTCCTTGTTCAATCCCAAGGGGTCTCCTTTTTATAAAGCCAACAGATGAAAACCTGTCTCTTATGCTAATTCTGCAGAAATGCCCTTTACAACAGGGGCTCTTAAATGCATTTCTTTGCAGTCCTGGACCCCAACTCAGAGAAATGTAATCTCGCTTTGGGATCTAAAGTTATCCTATTTCAGCAGTAATCCTGACAAATGGGAATGGAACATAAAAGTTTCTCCCACCCTTTCTTCTCAAACCCCCAGTGATTCGGAGTTCTTCTATTTTAGCATGATGCTAAACCTCAGAAGGTACAAGAAGTCACTTTTATCAGGGAGTAATTTGGAAATTGTGTCGAATATATGTTTCCTATCTTTTTTATAAAGTGAAATAACCTATAAATAGATTTCTTATTATAGATTAAACATGTTTAAAAGGGAATAATTAATGTTTTACGTGGTTTATTTTTATCTAATATTGAGAATGGCTTCACAGCAACAATAGTACCTCTTCATCTGTAACTATATCAGCTCTTACAGCTTCTCTGGCCCTGCTGCTGCATTTGGCTTTAAAACTAGCGACACATCTTTTTCTTTTTTTTTTAAAATCTTTTCTAAGATTTCTCTGACTTCCTACCCTTCAATCATGCTAC